GTTTCCATATGTGATGTAATGGTAAGAAGTTATATTTTGCTGTGTAAAGTGTATCAAATGTATTCAATAGAAGTACGACATTCATTTCAAAACAATGTAATTTTACTTATTAAAAAAATCGAATTTCCTGTAGAGAAGATGGATGGGGCCGAAAAGATACAAATGTAAACTAATCTACTGTAGAAGATGAGATGGCACTTCAGTTCATTAGACCACTGGTGTCAGTCTTCCCTAAGGTCTGCAAGCCTCCTGTGGAAAACACACCTGAAAATTGACAGAAACTCTGTCTGTATAGTCAAAGCCTTTAGCCTTTGTACCTGAAGTTTCCATCTCTCTGAGCGTTATACTTGTGATTCCACGTGGCCTGACACATGCCTAACGATGACACTAATGCTTCTCTGGGGTTTCTAGTGAGCCTCTTTTCCATCCTCCTAGTACCTCTGTCTTTGATGCTCACTGCAATTTGCGGTATGCCGGAAAATCTCCCAACTTGGATTCAACAAGGCTGCCTCTAATTTGTTCTCTCATATTTGTCTCTTGCCTTCAATTTCTCTTGTTCAAGCTTTAGATTGGTGTCCGTGCTTATATTGTTTTCGTTGGGAAAAAAAGCAGAAAAACTAAACACTAGTATTCCTAAACTGCAGGATACTTATTGATTATGTAATAAGAGGTCCAGCGTTGAATTGGTGACTCAAATAGAAAACCAAGAGAGACCCTCCTGCTTTAAAAACAAGATGTTTTTCTCTCTCTCTCTCTCTCTCACACACACACACACACACACCACAGTAGTGTAACTATTACAGTGATGAAACACTGTGACTAAAAGCAACTTGGGGAGGGAGTTTTTCATGACTGAAAGCATAAGGGGCAGGAGCTCAAATAGTACAGGAACCTGGAGGCCTGAGGTGATGCAGAGTATAAGGAGTGGTAGTGTTCTTCCCTGGCTTGCTTCCTAAGGCTTGCTTAATCTTCTTTCTTAAATAAACCAGGACCAACAGCCTAGGAATGGTACCATCATAAATGTGCTGGACCCTCCCCTATCAAATGCTCACAAAGAAAAGGCCTACAGGCTTGCCTACAGCTACATCTTATGGAAGCACTTTCTCAGTCGAAGTTCTCTTCTCTCAGATGACTCTAGCCTGTGTCAAGTTGATATAAAACTAGCCAGAACGTTTTAGCGTGTGTATGTGTGTGTGTGCTCAATCATGTGTGCACACACATGCTCGGAGAGGGTGTTGGATTCTGCGGAGCTGTGTTACAGGTGGTTGTGATTCACTGATTCACTTCATATGAGTGTTGAAACTAAACTTGGATCTCCAAAAGACCACCAGTAAGCTCTCTCTCTCACCTCGGAGCCGTCTCCCCATAGTTATCTTGCTCAATAATCAGGAAAATATTTTCCAGAAATCTCATCTTAAATCACTTTGATCACAAATGGTTCCTCTACCCCAACTCCCACAATATTTAATTGAACAGGAAATGGATGGCCTACAGTGACCTAGGTCAAATGAGATTCTTTCCTTGAGGTGGACTAGTCTCACAAACACATTTCTCAGGGTGATTGACACAGGACGCCTGATGGGCCTGTCACTCTTGCTTGCTGAAGACCAAGTTGTTGGTTTCAGTAAAACTCAAAGTCTCTAGAGTTCTGTTTATTTTATGGCCCCAAGGATTCTGAACACCAGCTGGGCTTAGAAAATGGGTGGGAAACAGGAGCCTTCGTGGCCAAAATCTGTGTTTCCACAAGACCCGATGTCAGCATTTCAATAACTGTTTATTTTTCTACTGACCCTAGCACCATATCATACAAATCCATTCTTTAAAGCTTAGCTTCACATTCTTCCCATCTTCCTAGCTTAAGTCTCTAATACGTAAAACCATCACAATGATTTCCGTGTTCCATGGGGCCTCCTACTAAATCTTCTCTTGTTTCTCTGTTTGTTTTCTCTACATAATCCCCTTCCATTGTATCTTTCATTACTGTACCTGGTATAAACACAGCAACTGGGGTTCAGCCCTTGGCCAACACATTTGTCTAAATCATAGGTACTCTCTCTGTCTCCTTTTTTATTGGATATTTTATTTATTTACATTTCAAATGTTATCCCTTTTCCCAGTTTCCTTCCAAAAACCCCTATCCCATACCCCGTCCCCCTGCTTCTATGAGGGAGCTCCCCCCCCACACCCATCCATTCTCACCTCACTGTCATAGCATTTCCCTACACTGGGGTATTGAGCATCCACAGGACCAGGAGCTTCCCCTCCCACTCATGCCTGACAAGGCCATTCTCTGCAGTTGGACCCATGGGTCTCTCCATGTGTACTCTTTGGTTAGTACTCTCTTATTTTCTATGACTTTCTATCACAGCCCCTGCCTATTGCAACAACGCTTCATCAAGGTGTTACCTCAGGTAGAATTCTGGCTTCATTTTTGAACACTACTTCAAACAATGCAGTATTACACAATACGTGGGCTAAGTAAATTACCTAAGTCCTTGGTCTGACTAAAGTTCACAAAACAGCCCCAAACTGGTTGACCCTTCCAGTAGAATTGAGCTCAGCTATTCATGCTTGGTGAATCTAGTACTGTTCCATGAGTTAGCCTTCTTACATGTCTACAATGGCAACAGCTGCTTCCTTATAAAAGTATGGATTGCTCATCAAATATAAAAGGATTAGCCAATCTTTAGGCAATCATAAACCATCTCAGTGGTCTTTTTAAAGCATATATGTTTGCCAGTGACACAACCTTTAGTGTCTGCCTTAGAGTTGCTATCTACCTCCTTGAAAGTGGGTGTCTCCAGAGGCCAGAGGGGTCAGATATCTCTGAAACTGGAATTACAGGAGTTTGTGAGCCATATTGTTATGGGAGTTGAGACTCAAACTCTTGTCTTTTGCAAGAACACCATGTGATCTTAACTGCTGAGCCATCTCTTCAGCCCCCCCCCCCACTATCTCCTTTGAGACTGACTGCAAAAGGCTTAAAGCTCCTTTTTATGAAAGCAACTTTTTATGAATTTTTGAGGATCACTCTATAAGGACGGCGTCATTTTAAAAGCATTTCTAAAGTGAGCCTGGATCCTCCTCTTGCGTCTCAGTATTGATGGGTTAAAAGAGGCGTTCTTAGAAAAGAAGACGTGATCAACGAGGCTGAGGATGATGAAGGTGCTCATGATAGAGGCAAATACAAGGATTTAGGCTTCCGGAATCTTTCTGGTCACTAGTCATCAGGAAAACATCGCCCTGCAGATATATAGCTCAATACTATAGAACTAGGCCTGACCCTGTAATGACTTCTCGGGAACTGTGAGACCAGTGTCCACAAGGCCCCGCTGTTGGATAGCACTTCTCTTCCTGATTAGTTTCAGGAGCGGTGGGTTTCAAGACAGACTTAAGTCATTTTGGTCTCTGAGCTCATTAGCATAAAAAAGGCCAGGAAATTAGTCAAATTTGAATCTTCACTTTGATCCCATTTCACAGAACTGGAAGGAGAAACTTGACTAGGTTTGAGACTTCTGAGAACTTTGGAGAGAAAGTTAAGGTTAGTTAGCACGTTGAGGATATCAGATGAGAGAGAATTAAGACGCCATGCCCCTCCCTCCCTGCTTTGAGCAAGGCCTGTGGCCATTGTTTTACCTCCACACTTCCTTAGCCTAGTGACTTAAGAATCCAGAGTGTTTTGTAGGTGGAGCCTAACCCCCTCTCCCTCCTTCCCCCCCTCCTCTATTGCTTATGCTTGCCCCTTCCTTCTTTGTGTGTGTGTGTGTGTGTGTGTGTGTGTGTGTGTGTGTGTGTGAGAGAGAGAGAGAGAGAGAGAGAGAGAGAGAGAGAGAGAGAGAGAGTTAGTTGGGGGAGAGGGAGAAAAGACGTATGACTCTCTAATATGTGCACTAACTACCTGTTCTTAGAAAAACAAATAACAAACAAAAAACCCGGTAGCAGAACGCAGCTGCCGCTTAGAGAGAAGGCTCTCTGGTCTGCTCCTAGGTTTCTTTTCTGCTTATTTCTTCCCTGGCGTTGTGATAGGTACACTGGGGCAAGAGCAACAATTGGAAATGCGATATTCTTTATCTCCAGAAAAATATAGCGTGATCACAATTACTCTCCTCAAACACTTTGTCTTTTTTGGTGGCTTATTTACGTCAGGAAAGGGAACATCACGGACGGGTATGGAGACCAAGAAGTGATTGAGAAAATAGGGACCTTTTGCTGGTAATTTTTCCCCTCCTGCCTAGTGGCTCGCGATCCATTCCAGGTTTTGCGGCCGACTCTGCCTCTGAATTTCGGCTGTGCACTGGGTAGCACGTTTCTCCCTCTCTCCCTCCCCTCCTTTCTCCTTCCCTGCTTCCAGTGTCAGTCTCCAGGATTTTCTCTCTTCCTATTTCAAGAAGACTCTCACTGGCTCCCTCAGTCTGTGTGAAGCTGAGGTTTCCCCTGGATCCCGTACATCTCCATCACATACCTCCACGCACACACCTCCCTGAGAGCCCCGCGTTCACACCCACAAACACGCGCGCACACACTCGCGCCGGCCTTTCCATCTCCCTCCGGGGTGGGGAGGGGGAGCCGGCGCGCGGTCCCACCTTCGTCGCGCACACCGGCTAGGCGAGCTCGCAGCACCCCACGACTCTGAGGCTCGGAACTTGGACCGCAGGGCTGAACACCCCCACTGTGGTATTTAAAAAAAAAAAAAAGAGGTTTCTTTGCCTTTTCCTCTTTTCTCCTCTTTCTCTCACGGTTTCCTACCGGAGTGGCTAGCGGAGCTTGCAGCCTTCCCAAGGCAGCCGTGGTTGGCTTGCCATTCTCCATCTGGCTTATAAAAGTTTGCTGAGTGCAGTCCAGAGGGCTGCGCGGCTCGTCCCCTCGGCTGGCGGAAGGGGGTGACGCTGGGCAGCGGCTAAGGAGCGCGCCGCAGGCTCTGGCGGGCTTTCGGCTCGAGGGGCAAGGTGAAGAGCGCACAGGGAGCTGGGGGCTGCCGAGGTGGACTTGCATGTTGCAACATGCCTTCTTGGATCCGGGCTGTGATTCTTCCTCTCTCCGGGCTGCTGCTGACCCTCCCGGCCGCGGCGGACGTGAAGGCTCGGAGCTGCAGCGAGGTCCGTCAGGCTTACGGTGCCAAGGGATTCAGCCTGGCGGACATCCCCTACCAGGAGATCGCAGGTAAGCGCGGGCCCGGGGCCCGCTGCAGCCCCGAGAGGCGGCGGGGCGCCCTCTCCCTACTCCCTGTTGCTCAGTTGGTGCTCACTTTCTGCGGGTGCCTCCCAGGAACCCCGCGTCCCTGCATCCAGTCGGCGGAGGCTGATCCCGTTTCTTGGGCGGGAGGAAGGTGTGCGTGCCCGCCGCCTCATTGTGTGCACACGCGGGAGCACCCTCGTCCCTCGCCCCTCGCTCCCTGCATCTGCTCCCGCGCCCTGCTACCTCCGTGGCTGGCCTAGAGCCGGGCCCGGACGCTAGAGCAGGGGACGATCGAGTGAAGACCGCTAGCGGAGGCAGAGTACGGAGCCGGGCGCCCATCGCATCCCCCTCGCTGGGGCAAACTTGGGAGAACTGCGGCCGCAGTTCGCTCAGCGCCACCGTCTGAGTGGCGCCTTCTCCACTCCCGCCTTCGCGCCGGCGGGGGCGGTGGAGAGACGCGGAGGTTCCCCTACTCTGGCTCTCTGCTCTCCAGGTCCTTTTCGTGGACCGGGCGCCCGGCTCCTGGGCTGGGGACGGGCCACTAAGGGGACAATTTCTCGGGTCCCTAGGATCTGCACGTTGGAATCCCGGTGTAGTTGGGGGCAGGGGGACTTAGTACTCTGTCTGCTTCAGATTTGGGGCGGACTTTCCCATTAGGGTGCCCCGGACTGCGGTTGGTCACTAAGGCTGAGGAGACAACCGGGCCACCCGGCGTGGCGCCGGGTCCCAAGCATGGCCTCCCGCTCTGGCCGCCTGGCGCACGCGGAGCCAACTTAAGCGAGTGACCCGATGGGGGCGTTCGTCTCCGGGGTCTGCACTTCGGTCCGAGGCTCGCCCAGTCACTAGCATTCCTTCCTCCCGAGCTCTAGAGCCCCCACCCTCTGCCGGAGCCAGGTTGTTCGGGCTCCAGCAACTTGCGCAGCAGCCTGGGTGTGTGTTTTCCGGCTCTTAGCTCCAACCGAATCCTAGCTTCTTTGGGGCTCCATGAATGAAACGTGTCGGGGACAGATAATCCTTTGGCTGCGAGGGAACTGAGCTGAAAGAGGCCAAAGGGAGACTAGAGATGCTATGAGGGTGCGGGCTGCTGGAACCGGGTAGCTGAAGTCGTCCTAAGTGACCTCAGATCGCTGGATCTCCACCAGAAACTGTGTTTTTCCAAAGAACTGGTGGACTGATGGAAAACACTTGCAAATATCTTAAAACATCTTAGTTTTAATACGTTGTGGAATTAGTGGTTTATGACGACCGGCTTCGAAACTCTAGGGGTGAGGGTCTTTACTTACATTGCAATGAACAGATTTCTATCAATTTGGGCATTACCAACAGAAAAATAAGCCACCTCATGTATCACAAACAGCGTGGTGCTTTATGTTGAAGCTTATTTTCCCTTCCCAGTTCACAGCCAGGCGTTTCGTTCCCTGGATCAAGTAAGCGGGAGAAACTGTAGTGAATTATCAGACTATATACTCTGCAGGCTCTGGGATTTCGCCCACCCCACTTCAGCACTCCCTAATTTGTTAATCAATGACTAGAAAGGCACTGCCCCTGCAGCTCCTTAAGTTTCTTAACCACGCTCCCTTTGTCTACTGTTATTTCATTCTTTTTAATTAATTGATAAGGATCAACCTCACCTTTTTAACTCACCACATCTCAGGAAATTCAACTTTTAAAAGGCTTAGAGTAGGGATTCCTTTAAGGAACTCGTTTTCTCCTCTAATCTGGCCATTTTAAAACTGCATCTTTTAAGCACACGTATTTCCCAACATGATTTCAGATAAGATTATCTCCAAGAAGAAAACAGCTAAGTATTTTTAAATTGCATCGGTATTCTGTAGTAGATATACTGAGACTCTCAGGAGACTTGCCTTGACCCTCCACCTTCCGGTCGCCTGACTATCCAGGGGCAGATGACCGTTGTAAATAATTTCTATAGTCCCCAATTACTTTGCCTGAGAACATTCTCAGTGGCTGTACACATTCTTCAGTAGTTAACTGCAGAGGGTTTTGGTTGTATACTTTTTGACTTCCCCATTGCCTTAAAAATCACAGAGTTTTAATACTCTGAATTCCTGAAATACATCCACCCCACTGAAATCACAGGAATGAGGAGGAGTTGAGGACTTGACCTCAAGCCGGGTGTCCTACAATACTGGTGGACAGGACTAAGGTCCATAGTCCCATGGAGTCAAAGGCACATTTGGTAGGAAAAGAATGAATTGTAAGATAACTGAAGGGCTTCCGTCTGGGGGCAAAGCTTTTTGTTTTTTCCAAAGTAAACTTTACTCAGTGCTAAAGTAAATTGCATTTACTATTGCTGTTGGAATAAGCACTTAGGAAATATGGTGTTATTAAATAAACACACTCTTCCTTTCTCCCTAGCTCTTGGTAACATTTACATTTCATTATGTAGTATAGGGAAGAGTCTGTGTGGTGATTACCCTCTCTTAAACTCTTAGTCATCCATTGCCTTGCTTAGACATCCAGTGGTTTGCTTGAGAAATGGCAGGAATTTAAAGAACTGCTGTTCAGGCTCCAGATTCCAGTTGAGCCATGTTTGTAAGTAGCTTGCTTCGTGAAAATAACTGCGATGTAATAAGGACATTATATTTCACCTCAGCATTATTAACGTTTTACTCCAAGCTCACAATTGTAAAACAATGTTGCCCTTTTCAGGATAGAGAGAAGCTCTTCTAACTGCCAGAGGGGGACTGTAGGTAATATATAAATCTAGGAAGTGCCTTCAGAGGGGGAGTTTGCTCCATCAATCTTCCTGCAGCCTTGATTTTAAACTCAGGCCGGCAGATTAGATAGACTCTCCTGTTTGGATGATGTCCAAAGGAGCTGACTCCTGAGCCCTTCTCAGTGATCCACTCTAATACTTCAGAATTCCTGTGGTACAAGCAGTGTTTCCTGACATCTAGCCAAAAGGCTCCACAATGGCCTTGCTTGTTTTTTTTTTTTTTTTTTCCTTCTGTGTCCTGGGAAGAGCCTAAGCTTAGAGCAGCAGGAGCTAGGGTAGGAACAGTCTTATCAAGAGTTCCCATTTCTTGGTGCTTACACTTCTCAAAGAGTTTCATAGCAGATTATAGCAACTGCTTGTGCTGGGGTGCAGATTATCTGTAGAGTGCTTGTCTGGTGTGCACGGGGCACTATGTCTCTAGCAACACACACACACTCTTACACATACACTCTTACACATTCACACCCACTCATACATGCATATTCACACTCACCTATACCCTATCCCCCACAGGGAAACATATCACCTTCATAAATACGGGAATTCAGAAACTGTTACTGTAGGGTTTCTTACATGTAGATTTTTTTGAGATCTTTCATTATAATATTTAGTCGTTCAGAGTAGCTTCTTAGCTTAACATGATTCTTCTTCTTTTCCCGTTTATCTAATGAAACTTTGTTTAACATTTCATATATAGAAATTTTGTGTCCATCACCTATTTATACACAACACTTAAGCAAGCCAGATGGCTCAGCTGGTTAAATGCTTGCTGCCAGACTAAATAACCTGAGTTTGATTGGTGGGACACACCTCTTTGAAGGGGAAAACCAAGCTGTCCTCTGACCTCCATATGTGGTCAATGACACCTACATATACAGATAAACACAGGTTCAAAAAGAAGATAAAGCATTACTGAAGTTTTGGTATTTGATAGATTAAAAAGACAGCAACAGTATCAGGCTCATGGGTGACTCAGCTAACAATTGACGAGACAAAATCTCAAACCCAGGAGTGCTGGTTTCACAGTTGATGCACCAACCTCCAGTTTGGTCCATTGTTTTACAGAATTAGGCTTCCGTCATTAGTCAGATCCACAACATACAAGACCTAATCTTTACCATTCTTATATGTGTTGTTGGCCAATCCATCCATCTATGGATTTTTACAAAGTTATGTGTGCGGAATTTATATTGAGTTACAACATTGTTTCCCAAATACTTCGAATTTAGGATTTAGCTTCCTGGGAATTGGTTACCTTCTACCTCTACTGCTTAATAATGCATCTCTGCATTTCCCAACTCATCTTATTGTACCTATATGGTCCTATGAACACATGCACTGGCTTCTTCCCCTCTTCTGGGTGTCCTATAGTATTAGCTTAGTCCAAAACCTGGAATATTGGGTTAGTCAAACAAAGCTTACAGTAGATTTACCCAGAGGGTCAAAGCTGGGGCAAAGTCCTATTACCACAGACTGGGACAAAATTTAAAACCAACAATTTTTAATATATGCTTTGTCCTACTTTCTCTCTCAGGCAAGTTTAGAGCTGAGGTACAGTTGAACATTAACAATGCATTAAACTGTCTCTATATGTTTTATGCAAATTTGTCAAATATGTCAAGAGCCTTATTCTGGCTTCAAGTATGTATGTATGTACATTCTTCATGTGTGTGTGTGTGTGTATGTGTGTGTACACACAGAGAGCACATATGTACATAGGCTTGGCTTTGTTTCATTGATCATTAGCACATTTTCTTTCAGTTTATATGCAGATACTGCATTAACATAAGTGGAAAACCAGTGTTGACTAGTTCTTCCCACTTCTAAGCTGTGCTAAACGTCTTAGTTTTGGATAAATGGTTTAAGTTCCATTTATCTGCCTTATTGAATGATATCTGATTTTTGCCTCCTACTTTGTTAATGGATGGCTACCTTTAAAGCACTTTGCATGAACAAAGTGAGTCATAAATTAATTAGCTGAATTTCAATTTTTTATTTCTATGGTTTGGCAAGTCACTAGATTTCTAAAATAATTACTCTATTTCTAGGTATCAAAGTCATCTGAAATTCAGGCTATTAGGAGTCCTCTTCTTAAATTTTTGATATGGGAGTCAGTTGAGAGTGTTCCTTCCAAACATAGTCAGTTCAGCTGATTTACTAAGAGAATAATCTCTTGTCATTTCAAGACTGACATACTTTTTTTTTCATAAGACTCACTTCTTTTATTGTACAGTCTCTTAATAGT